AGAGACAGACCGGGGCCCCATCTTACCGGACAGATCCATCACTACAAGCAGCGGCCAGGAAGAGTAACGTCTCAGACGGTTCTGCATCCTCAGTGCTAGCCAGCACTGCAATGGACATATACCTACAAATAAAGGAGAAATCAGTCATCCTCTCCCTCAGTGGCCCCCAACCTTGGGCCTCCAGATGTTCTTGGACTTCAGCTCCCAGAAATCCTGGCCAGCAGAGGTGGTGGTGAAGGCTTCTGGGACTTGTAGTCTAAGAACATCTGGAGGTCCAAGGTTGGGACCACTGCTCTATGGGACCATAAGTCTTGTCTGTCTGTCTGTCTGTCTGTCTGTAGTCATCTTCTATGGAACCATCAATCTTATCTGTCTGCCTGTCTGTCTGTCTGTGTACCTATCTACTTACCTATCTCTCTCTCCATCCACCCTTTCCTCCCTCCCTCCCCATAAGGTGGCTTAGACACAGTTATGAAACATACAATGAAATTTAAGACCTAATATTAAGAAAACAAACATTAAAACCACCATTTAAGGACATTTTGAAACATGCCCAGTCGATTCAGTATAGGCATCACCCTTTAATGGCTGTGTACTTATCTACTTGCCTATCTCTCCATCCACCCTTCCCTCCCTCCCTCCCCATAAGGTGGCTTACAAATAGTTATGAAACATAGAATGAAAATTAAGACCTAATATTAAGAAAAAACATTAAAACCACAATTTAAAGACATTTCAAAACATGCCCAGTTGATTCAGTATAGGCATCACCCTTTAATGGCTCCTACTGGTCCTATGATCTACTTGCCTATCTCTCCATCCACCCTTCCCTCCCTCCCTCCCCATAAGGTGGCTTACAAATAGTTATGAAACATAGAATGAAAATTAAGACCTAATATTAAGAAAAAACATTAAAACCACAATTTAAAGACATTTCAAAACATGCCCAGTTGATTCAGTATAGGCATCACCCTTTAATGGCTCCTACTGGTCCTATGAAAAGTCTACCTAAAAAGGAAGTTCTCTGCCTGCTGGCAGAAAGAAAAGAGGGAGGGAGGAAGGAGAACAAGCCAGCTTCCTCGTGGTGGTGGTGGTCACTCCACAGCCTAGAAGCAGCCACCGAAAAGGTCCTCTCTTGCATCTGCACAAGCCGTGGGACCCAGAGGAGAGCCTCCCCTAAACATCTTAAAAGCCAGGGGTAGTTATAGGAGGGTGATCTGGTCCTTCAAACTGAAGTATCTGGCAATAACGCAGTTGAATGCTTATATATACTGTAGATATAAAGTGGTTGCAGGCATCGACTATATATAAACATAGACTATATATTGACTATATATAAATAAATAATAATCCATGCATGCAATGAACTATCTCCCCCCCCCTTTTAATGGGAAAACGTTTATTCTTAACAGTTACTTTTCAGGAGTAAAAGTCCCATCATCCTCTAACCAGCATGGCCATTAGTCACGGCCGAGGGAATTCTAGCACTTGCATTCAATAAAAATAACTTTTCCGAGCTAGAGTGTCTATGTGCTCTACAGTGGCATCCAAAATATCCCCAGGACAGGTTGTATGAATCGTTTCAACCCAGGGAATCCATTCTTGCCTCTACCTGGTCTCTGGATCCATCTTGATGTACTTGTGCCGGTTCTTCATGCGCTCCCAATGTTCATCCAAGCGATGAGACGCCACGTGGGCCAAGCGGCAGGCCACGCCACTGCCGGGACTGGGGCTAGGGCTGAGCAGTAACCGGTAGCCCTCGATCTGGGCCCGGCCTCCAGCTGAGAAAAGCAAGGGGGAGAGACACCCTTTCTCTGCCTGAGGGGCCCTGCCCTCAGCCATCGCCAGCGCCCTGACACTGGAGATGTGGTCACTGAGGGTTGTGAGTCGGGCCATCGAGTGAGATCCCGTCCTGAAGGTTAGAATATTCACCGCATTGTCCTCACTTCCCGTAGCAAGGATGCTCACCGGCTCCAGGCTGGGCGTCCTCAGGGTCCCAAGGTAGCACACGCAGGTCAGCTCCCGGCTGTGCAGGGGCTCTTTGAGGATGGGCTTCCCGCTGGGGGCATCACTCCTTTGGTACATCATAACATCCCCACTCTTGATGTAAGCAAAGAGGTCCCCAGAGGGGCGGCGGGTGTAGCTCCAGGAGCGGTGGCCGCCACCGCAGTGGAGGGAGAGCAGGGTCTCGTTGCTGTCGGTGCTCCAGACCACGAAGTGGGTGCCACGGAAGCCCAGCACCCACATGCTCCCGTCCGGCCCAATGCGCAGCTCTTCCAACCAGTCCAGGCCCTTGCAAGGCTTCTGCTTCTGCAGCACTCGGAGCTGCTCGCCCTGCGCCTGGAGTTGGCGATAGCAGCCATCCCGGCCGGTGCTGTAGATGAAGCCCCCGTGGCAGAGGATGGAGGTCACCCCAAGCTTCCCGTGAAGGCCAAACAGGAGAGAAACGGGCCCCTCGGCAGACGGCTCTTCCCCTCCCATAGGAAAGGGCGGCCCCGGGGAGCCGCACGTCCTCTCTGCATCGGAGTGGCCCAACTCTCCTCCCCCCGAGGTCTTGTCCGAGGGAAGAGCTAGCCTGCAAGCAAAGAGCATCACGGAGCCCCTGCGGTCGCCACAGAGCAGAAGCTCCCCCTGGGGCAGGAGGGCCGCGCAGGTGTGCCATCGCTGCTTACAGAGGGGCAGAAGGAAGCGCCGCTTGATCCCCACCGTCACCCCTCGGGGTGGGGCGCAAGAGACCTCCAGCCACAGCAAAGCCCCTGCTGGGCCAGAAACCAAGAGGCTGCACGTCCTGGGATTCTGTCCGGGAGAAGGGAGAGACCAGGTCAGGCTGTGCACTTTCCCTTGGAACAGCTGGAGCTCTTGGCTTTGCCAGGGGCTGCCGAGAGGGAAGACCTTGATGTGCCCCGAAAGATTGCCCATGGCGCACACGGTGACGTTGCCGCCAAGGGCACAGACGTCCAGGAGGCTGTAGGACTGATAGGCAGCATCCTCCAGGACCAGCTCCCAGGCTTTCAAGGACGTGTCATAGGTGTAGACGGCCCCAGCGTCAGTCATGACCAGGAGACGGTTCCCATCGACCAGTTTTACTGCTCGGGGGGCTCCTTTTCTCTGAGGGGAGGGGAAGTTCAGCTGCAAAAGGCTGCTCCCGTGGGTGCTCTCGCCTTTCAGGGCCCAGCGTCGGATGCCACCATCAGCCCCACCGGCGAACACCCAGCCTCGCCCCTCGTGCACAGCCACAGCCCGGAGGCCACGGCCCTTGTGGCTTTTAAACTTGCGGACGACCTCGCCTTGGTAGTTCCACACCAGACACGCAGAATCCTCGCCGATGCTGACGAGGTAGTCGTTCAGCAACTTGACCGACCAGACGCGGGACTGGTGCCCATAGCAGACCAGAAGGCACGGGACGTCCTCCGAGGGAGCCCTCAGGTCACCGATGCCCCACAGCCGCAGGCTCCTGTCGTCAGAGGCAGACGCCAGGACGCCCTTGCTCTCCGAGTAGCAAATGCTGAAGATGACCCCGCTGTGCCCTCGAATCCGGGAGCGAGGCCGCACCCTCCCTGTGCCATCTGCTGGATCAGCCGCGTGCCAGACCACCAGCTGGTTAAAGACGGTGCCTGCCACCACGACCAGCGCGTCCCAGCGGCTCCCTACCAGGTGGGCCGAGTAGAGGATGCATCTCTCTTGGCAGTGCACTTCGCGGAGCACCTTCTGCCCCACGCAATCGTACAGCGCCACCGAGTTGTGGCCCAGGGCCAAAGCCACACAGCAGAGGGCCTTGGGGCTGCCTTCCAGCCACTGCAGATCCCAGATCCAATCGTGCACCTCACAGAGGGGAAAGAATTCCGCTACGTCCACGTGGCTGCCCCGGAAGCCGAGCTCGACACCAACAAGGCTTTTGCCCCCAAAGACGGCAAGGATGGAGGGTCCTTTCTCCCTCCCTATCGCGCAGCTCTGTTGCTCTTTGATACCGTGGACATTGGAGTTGCGAAGGACCTGCTTGCAATACCTCACTGACTGGCTGGCTTCAGACTCCAGCAGGCAGATGACTATGTTGGGCCCTTCACCTGGGAAGGAAAAAAAAAAGACAGGAAGCCAGGATCACTGTGCGGCATCAAATCAGTGCCCCCTCTTTTCCAACAGCCCTTGTCCTCAACATGTCCATCACACCGCCTCTCCTAGCAGAAGAGAGATTCTGCACCGTCTCTGTGCTTCACAAGGCGAGCCAGATGGAAGATTGTTCTCCTGATGCAGGCTTTCTACTGTAACAACTGCTTCCCGGGCAGCTCCTGGAATCCCTCCCCTCAGAACTTTGTCTCCCATAATTCCGCCCCAATGAAAACCAGAAGGGCCCCCCTCCTCTTCTTCTAGTCTCAAAAGAGCTCCTGTTGTGCCAGTCCAGAGCCTCTGGTTGCCAGAATTCGGTGCTCCTGCCTGCTCTTCCTCTGAAACTGCAGGGCCACTACATTTGGCCCTTTTCTCTTTCCTCAGCCCCTCTTGCACTTGCCTCATCAGGTGGGCAGAAACAGGGCCTCTGCTGGGCTCAGCCTCAGGCCCAACCCCCTCCTGCATGTTTCCACCCCAGGTCCCTGCTTTTTGCTGCCAAAAACTGCCAACAGTCTGTCAAACTGTAGCACATGTGGCTTGGAAGGCTGCCTTTCACCACATGTTTTAAAACAGATTTGTTTGTTTTGTTTCTGGATTTAGGACTCTGCTTTAAATTGAATCATGAACTCAGTACATGTTTTGTGCATTTAGTTTTTTTTTAAACACTTTTAAGTCAGTGCACTGGTGAAATTCAAGGATCCAGGATGTGGTTGACCCATATAGTCCTGAGAAGTTGCATATCTTTGACCAAGAAGGTGATGCTTGACTTTGCTGAGTGACCAAAGCCACGGCATGATCTCTGGCATACCTCTCACCAATCACCAAGGTATTCTCGGCCCTCACTGTAACTGGCCCGCAAGATGCCCACCTGCTACAAGATGATCTCCCACAATCTCCAGGGCAGTGATGGGAGCCAGGAGCAGTTCTGATTCCATTGCAGGGCAAGGATGGCCGGGCGAAGATCCTGTTGGATTCTTTCTCTCTTACACAGAAGGGAACATAGTCTTCTGGGGAAGGAAGGGAAACTGTGAGCAACAGGGCAGAAGAGTTTGAGCTGCTGGTGGACCCGGGAGCATGGGGTGCCTTTACCGCTTAGAAAACAGGAACTGTCCAGAGCAGAAGGGGAGAGGGTGTGCCCGTCCCACACCTGCAGTTGTTGTTGGATCTCAGCTCCTATCAACTGAACCAATATGGTTACAGATCATAAGAGCTGGAAGTCTTTCTTACCCTTGGCTAAATCTGTGTGCCATAAGGATGTTGTTATGTCCCATGACGTCAAATCTGACTTACAGGGACCCTAATGGGATTTTAAGGTATGTGAGACATTTAAGTTCTCCCCCCGATTGCTATCCACCCCCCCAGTGAATTTCCATGGTTGAGTAGGGATTTGAACTCGGGTCTCTCAAGTCCTTGTCTGTCACTTTTGTCACTGTATCACGCTGGCTGGTGATTAGAGGGATTAACAACAGCAACACTGTATTGATGTGGGAAAACAAGCAGATCTGCAGAGCACTTGGTAAAATTCTGACAACTTGTCCAAATGCATTGATCTCCGATTTAAACAACTGGACATGGAGAAGAAGAAGGAAAAAAAGGAGCCAGGAGGAACAGGAGAAGGTATGCATTTCCAGACGGGTAACCGTATTAGTTTGTTGCATCAAACACAGAACAGCTTTGTGTCACACTTAGAAACTAGTAGGAAACTGTGAGCAACAGGGCAGATGAGATTGAGCTGCTGGTAGACCCGGGAGCATGGGGTCCCTTTCCGCTTAGAAAACAGGAACTGTCCAGAGGAGGAGAGAGGGTGTGCCCGTCCCACCCCCCAGTTGTTGTTGGATCTCAGCTCCTATCAGCTGAACCTCTAAAAATATGAGGAGGGCTGCAGCTTTCTTACCCCTGGCTAAATCTGTGTGCCATAAGGATGTTATGTCCTATCATGTCATATCTGACTTACAGGGATCCTAACAGGATTTTAAAGGTATGTGAGACATTTAAGTTCCCCCCCCCACACACACACTATCCACCCCCCAGTGAATTTCTATGGTTGAGTAGGGATTTGAACTCGGGTCTCTCAAGTCCTTGTCTGTCACTTTTGTCACTGTATCACGCTGGCTGGTGATTAGAGGGATTAAGAACAGCAACACTGTATTGAAGTGGGAAAACAAGCAAAGAGGTCTGCAGAGCCCTTGGTAAAATTATGGACAACTTGTCCAAACACATTGATCCCTGATTTAAACAACTGGACATGAAGAAGAAGGAAAAAAGGAGCCAGGAGGAACAGGGGAAGGTATGCATTTCCAGACGGGTAACCGTATTAGTTTGTTGCATCAAACACAGAACAGCTTTGTGTCACACTTAGAAACTAGTGTGTTTATTCGGAATACAAGAAAGAGTCTTGCACCACATAAGTAAGTCAACTAACATACTAAGACAAAAGCTTTTGCAGACCAAAGCCAACTTCATCAGACACATGTCATGGCATTCTTTATTAGCTGATATTTGTGCACCCAGCTGTAGACAGGAGAAATCAAGAACAATGATGTCACAGAATGAAATGCAAGAAATACTCAGGGATTTCTAGGTAGAGAGTATTCAGAAGTGGTTTACCATTCTCTTCTTCTGGGGGCATCTTGGGACTGTGCAGCTTGCCCGAGGTCACACCGGCTGGCTCTACTCCCAGGAGACACAGCGGGGAATCTAACTCCAGCCTCTGACTCCACAGCCAGATCATCTTACTGAGCTATCCAGCCAGCTTCATACAAGAATTATCATAACCAGTTTATTATCCAAAAGAGGTGGGAAATATGTGACCTATCTGATGTTCTGAACTACAGATCCTATCCTGCCAAAGGCTGATGGGAGCTGGGAATCAAAACAGGTGTGGCAATAGGAGTTAGACTGCTAGACAGCATCTTGGGAGGTCCCGGTTCCAGTCTACACCTGAGTGTAAAATTCATTGTGCGACCCAGCACCCTCTCTCAGCCGGAGGTACTTCATATGCTTACTGTGAGAATAAAGCAGAGACGAGGTGGGAGAGCAGAAGAGGGACACAGTCCACCCTGAACTCACAGGAAGGAAATAGCAATATAAATGGAACTAGCAATTTTGTTTTAATTTTGAATGTTTATGTTGTTGTTGTCTTAATATTGTTACTATTACTTTGAATGTTGTAAACCACTCGGAGTGGCCCTTGGCCAGACGGGTGGTATAGAAGTCAAACAAACAATATACCAAAATCATGTCTAGAGAAGAATGACCTAACTTTACCATTGACAATGAAGAAACTGAAAGAGTTTGTATCCCTTGCTTGTCATCATTCCTAATAGAGCCTGCAGCCAAAAAAACAGAAGGCTGAGAAGGGCAGCAATGAAGGAATTAGAAAAGATCATCAGATTTAAGGATGTGCCCCTGGAGACCAAGATCTGGATCACCTACACACACTTATTTCCAATCACCATGTATGGATGTGAACATGGACCGTCAAGAAAGCTGACGGGGGGGGGAGGAATTCATTTGAAAGATAGACAAACAAGTGGGCCTTGAGCAAATCAAGCCTGACCTGTTTCTGGAGAGGAAAATGAAACTGTCCTCCCTTGAGTACATCATGACAAGGCAGGATTCTCTTGGAAAAGGTGGAAGGTAGGAG